AGGCCAGAGGGCTTCTGAGAAGTCCCGCCGCCTTCTGAGAAGGCCTGCCCCCCCTCACCCCCCCCCTGGGCTCGCCGCCGAAAGATATCCACTGAGGTCGCCCATGAAGCAAACAGGTCCCACGAGAGACGGGTTTCGGACCGCACGGACGGCCCTCGTGGACCAGCCTTTGATCCCAGGTTGTTTTTTAATGGTCACGGGGCCGGCAATAAATCCCTGGAGCCCCTAAAAGCTAAAAAACGGCGGAAAACTTCCCTGCGGGACCCGTTTGCCCCGTGACGGGCCCACGCTCCGGGCCCACGAGCCGACGGGGACGACGACGACCACGCCGGCGGCGGCGGCACCTGCGGTGGCGGCAGCGGCGGCGGCGGCCGCGGAGGCGGCAACGGCGGCGGCGGCGGCGACGGCGACGGCCACAGCGGCGGCAGCGACGACGACGACGACGACGACGACGACGGCGGCGGTCGCCGCCACCGCCGCCGCCGCCGCCGTCGCCGTCGTCGTCGGGATCGCCATCATCGAAATCGTCCTCGTGCTCCTCCCCCTACTCCTCGTCCTCGTTCTCCTAATCCCCCTGGTGGTGTTCCTGATCCTCCTCCTCCTCATCCTCATCCTCCCTTTCACCGTCCTCCTCCTCCTCCTCCTCCTCCTCCTCCTCATCATCATCATCATCATCATCACAATCGCACTCCTGCACAACAGTTGCAGCAGGGCTCTGTCCGCTCTCATGAACATGAGCAGAAGCCTGGAACATGCAAGCACAAAGCAGATCCAGACTTGGCGTTGTGCTGACGTCCTCTGTTGCCCTGGCAACTGTGGTTGCCGACGTCACCACGTCTGGACAAGAAACTCACGCACACGCCGCGTTTCCGAACGCATGCTGCGCAATCCGCCGAAGGGTCCCCGCCGCCGCCGTCGCCCTCCTTGTCGCCGTCCGACGGCGACGGGGACGACGACGACGACGACGACGACGACGACGACGCTGGCGGCGGCGGCCCCTGCGGTGGCGGCAGCGGCGGCGGCGGCCGCGGCGGCGGCGACGGCAGCGGCGCTGGCGGCGACGGCGGCACCGGCGGCGGCGGCGACGACGACGACGAGGACGACGACGACGACGACGACGACGAGGACAACACGACGACGACGACGACGACGACGACGACGACGGCGGCGGCGGCGGCGGCGGAAGTCACCGACACCGCCGCCGCCGCCGTCGTCGTCGTGGTCGTCGCCGTCCACGCCGCCGCCATCGTCGTCGTCGTCGTCCCCGTCGCCGCCGCCGCCGCCGTCGCCTTCCCTGGGACGGCGACGACGACGACGACGACGACGACGCACCTGCGTGCACGCTGCAACCGTCGACCCATGTCGCAGGGGCCTGACCTGCTTCAAGGGAGCCTCCCAGGCCCGAATGGGGCCCCCTAGCAGCATTCAACCTCGAACGCCCGCGCTGGGGTCGCCGCCGCTGCGGCTGTGGCGACGACCGGCGAAGAGGGTGCAATTCCCGCCACACTTCGCGAGAAGGGCGCCAAAGCTGTGAGAAATCCTCATTCCCCTCCTTCATATCCCATCCCCACCCAATCAAATTCAATCTGTAATTTGTTTGTGAATGTTGTTTTTTTATTGCCCTGGGCACGGCCCCCTGCATCAGGGCCCGCAATGCCTGTGCACACCACGGCAACTGTGAACACCGCAACATTCACGTATAACATAACGCCCGTGTGCGGCCTGTACACACCACATCTCTGGGAGCTACGAGCGCCGCAATCCGACCGCCGCACCAGCGCCTCTCAGCAACAGGGCACCACTGCGTCCGTGAGAGCACCGCGCCACGCCTGTGAGCGAGACAGAATGCTTGTGAACACACATGTGAGCGTCACAGCATGCCTGCCTGAACGGAGGGGGGGTCCGCACCCCCGTCCCCGTACGCTCGTTACCGTTACGGGTCCGAGCAATAAAAAAACAAGCTCCTTGGAGCCGCAACCTCATACAATGACCCAGTGCAGGGCCAGAATAAGCACCTCCAGAGTGAGGCTAGTCGGGCTACGTGCGAAGCCCTACATCAACAGTAGAGACACATGCCTGAGCCCATTCGACGAGACCTGGGTGTTCCGCGACGGCCCCACCCTCATCCGAATGAAGGCTGAGTCCAGTGAGATCACCGTCAAGCTTTCCAGAACCTGCCTTGCACGTGCCTTCTTCGAAAAAGCCGAGGCGTGTCAGTGCCTGGACATGCTGCAGAACGGACATGGAGTCAATCGGATGTATGCCACGGCGGCCGACGAGGGTCAGCCTGGAGCAGCGCCGTTTCTTCCAACTGATCCAGGCCGACCAGGCCCTTGTCGACATGACTTACGGCAGCTTCGCGTCGCAACACGATCGGCGCCACACTCTCTGCGATGGTGCCCCGCCTCCGCCCGACCGCCGACGTTCGCCTGCCGCCATTGAGACAAGTGCAGCCCCGCCTCGGCCGCGCCCGTGCGCACGGACCAGCCTCGCGGCAGCAGCCTACGATAGGAGCTCGACCACAAGAAGCCGTCCACGAGGAACCCAACACTGAGACCCCAGGACGCCCGCTGATCTTGGTGTGGGAACGTCATGACTTCTATAGCGTACCAATCGAAACCCAAGAAACCCAGGGCACCCTGGAGGCAACCAGGGTGTTTCTTGGCATGGGTGCCCACTGTACCTCACCCCACCACTGTGCTTGCCCGCACGTCCCTCGGCACTTCCCAGCCCCGCAGGCCGCACTTTGCTCTGCACCTAGCCTCATCACTCAGCGGCCCTGCGCTGCTCGACGGTAAAGCAGAGCAGTGGCGGAATGGCTTATGAGCCCACCGTCCCTTCTGCCCGTTTGGTGGACCTACGGTCATAATGCAGTAAGTTAGAAGGCGCGTCGGGATTGTCAAGTGCACTATAAACGGCAGAATGTTTAGAGTGCACGTCGCAAAGAGGTGCACTTTACACGCGATGACTCAACTGTTAGCGTGCACGTCCGAGCTATTACACAATAGTTTTTAGAGTGCACGTTCGGTTTCTCGTTTATCGCGCATTACTGATTTCAGGCCCGACCCACCTCCTCCTCCTCCCGCTGTCACGCGGACGTTACCTTTTCCTTCGCCTCGCTTCTCCTCCTCCTCCTCCTCATCCTCCTCCTCCTCCTCCTCCTCCTCCTCCTACGTGTAGCTGCGGTGATACCCAAGGCATCGCGATGATGGGTGGAGACAGGAGGCAGGGCAGAGGGGGAGGAAGAGGAGGGAGAGGGGACGGAAAGGAGGTGAGCAGACGAGACGGAATCGTGCAGAGTGCACCCACAAGGGCGCTACATACGCATGCCCAAGAAAGAAAATGTGAACACATCGCCAACGTGAAAACGTTTAGCGTGCGCGTCCGCATTCAACACAGAACCGTATAGTGTACGTCCGTTTTTTAGGTATACAAGAGATGCATATAGAGTGCACGGACGGTGAGTGGCACTTTGTCCCCGGAGGGACGCCGTGCACTCTCTAAATACTGCGTTCTGACTTCACCATGTTCAAACCAAAACGGTCAGTCTCCGTCTTCAGATTTAAGGGGGGGATGCGGACGGGAACACCAGCGGAGCAGGAAAGAGGGGACAACAGCACGCTGATAGCACTGCTGCCGCACGGCCGCGGGCCACAAGACCACGGGCCGCCGTCCAGCCGCCAACTGATAGCATCAGTGCTTAGCCTCCTCCTCCTCCTCCTCCTCCTCCTCCTCCATTCCTTCTCCTTATAGATACCTCCTCCCTGTCGCACCCCGAGACCAGTGTTTAGGGCGGGCCGGGCGCTTCGCCTGAGACTTCCTCACCACTTATGACTCTGAAGCTTAAAAAGTGACAACAGTTTGACAGATGAAGGGCGGGTCACTTTCAAAACGTGGCTTTCGCTTTAGCGCCGCGCACACTCGTTTTCAACATTAGCAAGAGTTTCACGGATTGAGGGCGGGTGGTTTGCAAAATGTGGCTCTCGCCTTAGCGCCGCGCACATTCGTTTTCAACATTTGCAAGAACTTCACGGATTGAGGGCGGTTCCTTCTCAAACTGTTGCTCTCGCCTTAGCGCCGCGCACATCCGTTCAAAAAAATGCAAGAGTTTCACGGATTGAGGGCGGGCTGTTTTCTAAATGTGGCTTTCGCCTTAGCGCCGCGCACATTCGTTTAAAACATGTGCAAGAGCTTCACGGGTTGATGGCGGCTCCTTTTCAAAATGTGGCTCTCGCCTTAGCGCCGCGCACATTCGTGTTTAACATTGGCAAGAGGTTCACAGATTCCCATGATCAACGCACCAGAAAGTATGTTTTGGAAGGGTTCAGGATTATGCGGGCGCAACAATTATGTTGATTCGCTGTTGAAGTCCAAATAATAGCTTTCTGGCACGATTCCGGAACGTCAAGACGCTGCAGTCAGGTTGATACGTGACGTTGAAATCCCGAGAACAATGGTTTGACACGCTTCACGATCTTCAAACGGTTGTCTTCCAGCGAGGCAGTTCCCTCAATGGAAATGCATCGTTGTAGGGGCCTATGAAGAGGAAGCTTGGAGGGAGGGTTAATTCCAACATCGTTGATGACTCTTGGGTTTCCACTGGTCCTCCTCCTCCTCCTCATCCTCCTCTTGCCTTCATATCCTCCCCGATCCATCTCATTGACCCAGGCGCCTTGCTTCCTCCACCTTGCTAGCATCAGCATAGTGCTCCGATCAGACAGCGACTGCAGCACCCCCACCGGCCAGCTTGCACGGCGCATCCAAAGTCTCGAAGCTGATGCTGCTGAGGCCGACACTTTACCAGCGCAGTGGACCAGGGGGAGTTGAGCGTTGTGAGGAGGGCTGGGGGGAATTTAGAGGAGGATGGGGGATGAGCCCACGCCGCCACTTGCTCGCTCGTACCTCACTGCGCCCCAGCTTTCAACGCCAGGGATGCGATACGCCACCATCCATGGTAATCAATCCATCTCGTTTGACCCAGGCGCCTCGCTCCTTCAACCTCACCTCCTCCGTCCTCCTCTCCTCCTCGCATCCATCTCCACCGCCCTGTGCTCAGAGTGTTCCGGTGGGCCTCCCACGGAACACTCTGGGAGCATCTGCTCCAGTAGACCCTCGCTCGCGCAGCCGTGCATGCCCGCCGCCACCCGAGCCTGCGAGAGCGCCGCGCGGGTCCACTCGACGCGACACTTTCCGAGCGTAGTGGGCCGGAGGGCGTTGAGCGTCATATCGAGGGTTGGGGAGGATCGGAGGGAGGAGGAGCAGGAGGAGGAGGAGGAGGAGGAGGAGGAGGAGGAGGAGCGAGGAGGAGCGAGGCGGAGGGACCGGGCTCTCGAAGGCCGCCTTGCAAGGCCTCTCGGAAGGCCGGGGGGGGGCCTCCGAGAAGCATTGAAGGCCGCCGCCCCCCCCTTTGGCGCGCCGCCGGCCGGCTGCCTCTCGTCCCTGGCCTCGTCCAGGGCGATGGCGCCGATCGCTGCCTGGACGGTCGCCTTCGGCAGCCACGCCAGCGCGGTGAAGAGGCGCTCCTGCCAGCGGAGGCCGCGCCCGCCCACCGCCACGTAGGCCATGCAGCAGCGGACTGGCAGGCTGCACGCCAGCATGGCCAGCCCCAGGCCCACGACCCTCGCCTGTGACCAGCCTCGAGCTGGTCCCCGTCCCTGAGATCGACGAGCCCAAGGCGACGACGATCTCAGGGGTGCACTTTCAGAAACCGAGGGGGCCTCTGTAAGATCGACGCCGCGGGATGGAGATGCCGACCATGGGGGTGCGGCAGGTTCGTGTCGAGCCGACTTCGGCGCTGGGATCTGACACCGCGGGGATCGCTCAACCTTGAGCGATCGGCCGTTCCCGAAACATCAGATCGTTCAACAGCGACCGATTCTGGGTCTCCAGCGGCGCTAGGCGTTGAAACGCCGGCGGCGCGGGCGCCGCTGGTCGACACGACGCGAACCTACCGTGGGGATGTGTGCTCAGGCTGGTTGTCGCCTCCAGCGCGTCCACGGCCACCGCGCAGCCCACCAGGCCGAAAAGCAGGGGCTGCGCGACCGTGTTCCACACCTCTGAAGGGGCCCAGGGACACAAACAAATACACACACACACACAAATGCCAGGATTCCCTTTTTTATCATTTTCTGGGTTTCTGACTTCCCCCACTTCCCATATTAGGAGGCAAACAAGCCTACCTCGCTTTTGACCACCCTCGCTTCCAAGAGATACCAAGCGATGCCAAGCTGCGGCCTGTACTGGTCAAGCCGCTTGACGAGGAGGCGCGTGGTATGTCCTGGTTTTGCCTGGAAGCGAAAGCGGGGTACGTAATTCACGCTGAGACATATGTTCGCATATTTTCCTGAGAATCGACGATCAATTCTCCGTGATATTTTTTCCCTCCTGAACCTCCCCGAGCAGGGCGGCCACCGGCTTCGTCTCCGCCTTGCCCCACCCGCCCACGGCCCGCACGGCCAGGCCCAGCGTGGAGAGGGCGGACGCTCCTCCGCGGGCGCGGAGCAGTACAGTACTCGGCCTGACCCAAGGAACGAAGCACCTGTTTTTTTTCCAAGTAAGTCTACGAAGTCCGAAGGAACACACCAGGGGGCTCGCCGCCGAAGAGGCAGCGGAACGCATGCAAACGAAAGGAAGGACCGAGCCCCTTTTGAAAAGTAAGTATTCCTGAGTCAAGCCGGATCCTGTACTCTGAGTTTCCCAATAAGCGTCGGGTGGGCGTCACCCCCGCCAGCAGCCCCACATCGACCCCCGTCGCGGGCAGTCACCGCGCGCCGAAGGCGCTCCGACCCCCGTCGCGGCACGACGACGAGGCGAGGTTGACCCCCGTCGTGGGGGTACCCCGCCCACGCTTGTTAAGAAACCCAGAAGATGGAATGAACGATTCCGCGATCGGGGACGCTTGTCCTGGTGCAGCTGGGAAATTTACACCCCACCTGCCACCGTACAGTAGGAGCCCGACCACAAGAGACCTTCCACAAGAAGCCCGATCCTAACCCCAGGACGTCGGTTGACTCATGGTGTGGGAGCGTCACGCCTTCCATAGCAGAACCATCGAAACCAAGGAAACGCGGGGCACCCTGGAGGCAAGCAGGGTGTTTCTTGGCATGGGCCCCCACCGCAGCTGCATATAGACTTTCCAGCCGCCCTGGGGCAGGCGCCCACGATCGCCGAAAAAGAGTGTATATCACATATCGTTCTGCGCCCGCTAAGCTCCAGAGAACCCGGCCCTCTTCAGCGCGAGGGCGCTAACCACTGCAACACTCAGCAGCCATGCGCCCCGTGCCTGCGGGCTGACGGCGGCGGCCTTGGCGGGAGGTCGCTCCCCGACGGCGGTGCTTTCTGCCTCTGGCGCGCGCGTCACCGCTACGAGCAGCGCGCCCCCGATCTCGCCTGCCGCCAAGCCCAGCAGCAGCTCCAGAGGCGCCCGGGCGTAGTCCATCCAGCCAGAGGCCTCCCCGAAGGCGAAGCCCAGGCAAATGCCGAATCCAGCGATGGCCAGCACATCGTCCAAGGGCGCCGCTGCCACCACCATTGTCGGGATGCCCGTGGCGGTTCCGTAGCCGCGCTCCTCGGAGCAGGGCGACTTGAGACAACGGCAGCTCAAAATCGGTCCCCGGACCCCTCCCTGGGTCCAAATGCACCAGTTTTCCGGAGCTGCGTCCAGCCGTGGCGACAAGGCCAACTACCGTTTGCTCGACTCGCCTTCCTCTGAGCTCCTGCAGCGACAGCAGGGACGGCACGACGACCGCCGGCGATATCGCCGCGACCACGAACCCGAGCATCCCCGCCCACGCGGGTGGGAACTCCAGCAGCACCGCGGACATGCCGGCCACAACGGCTGCCTCTCGGGGGACTACAGACATGCGGATACCGCTGATCCTCGGCGCTCTCCTCCCCCTTCTGATCGGGACAGCCGTGGCGGCGAGAGCTCCGCGGGAGGCCTAGCAAAGCAAGAACGTTGGATGGGCATCGGTATCCGTACTGTCGAGACTGAGTGCAGCGGACACCCGAGAAAACAAGAGTCTCTTCCCAGGGCAGCGGGCAGCCCATGCCCCAAGCAAAAGTGAAGAAGACACGAACCGCGGAAGACAGGACTCCGGGAGCAACCTCGACGTTGAAGGATAGACCTACGTAACCAGACCCGACTGCATGACTGCTTCCTCCTCCAAAGGCCTCCCAAATTGGGTCTGAGTAGATGAAGTCGGAGCATCGTGCCGCAACGCCGAGGCACTATCGACGCATTGGCAATGCATCCACGACGTCGGCGAGGCATCGGCAACGTGGAAAAGACTGGGCCCCACATCGAGCTGCATTGCCGATGCCTCGGCGATGAGCCGCGACCCTCTAACACCACCAACTCGGACCCCATTTGGAAGGCCTAGAATCCGAACCGATGGGAGGCGGAGGTGGAGTTCGCAGTTCGCCACGCGCTCGACAAATTCCAAGCCCTACCCGCCGCCGCCCATCGAATTGCCTGAACCGTTGATCGGCGACAATAACTGTGTTGAGCAAGGACCGACCGTCCCGGCATTCTAGGCCTACCGCGAAATGTTTTTAGAACCCAGAAATGTTCGAATAACAAAACAATGTTCTCAGAACATTAACCCGATGTGTTCAAACGAGACAGACTCAGCCAGAAATGTTCTAAGAACATGTCGTGCAAACCACGAGCGGTTCTGAGAACATTCTTTGGTGGGCCTATAGGCGAGCCAGGACGCTTCGCCACTGCTTGACTGTGGGTTCCCCACGCTTCGGATGCCGCTTCCTCCTCCGAGCCTCCGCCAGGCAGGGCAGCACGGCCAGGCGCGCCACGACCAGCCGCAGGCGCCTCAGTGCCTCGAGGTCGAAGGACAGGCCGGCGCGGCAGAGAATGAGCGTCACCGCCGCGGTCGCTTTGCCACCCCGAGGGCCAGGGCGGAGTTCGGACGTTTGCGGAGGCTTCCAGGACGTGTTCGGATATTAGGCAGTTCCCCAAATCAGTGCTTGCACCTAGGGGTTCTCACTTCTGCTCTTTAGCAATGGGATGCGAGTGCCAGGGCTTCGCCACGTGCCTGGCTGTGGGCGCCTGGTGGCCCCCCCATTGGTGGTGATTGAGGGCAGACGGCGGGGGTAGACGGGTTGGTGTGGTAGCGGGTTGGGCAAGCTGGGCTACTTGGCAAGTCTGCGGGTGGGATGGTTGGGAGGGTTGGGCTGGCTTGTGAGCTGGCTGAGGCAATTCGTTTTGGCTGGTACCGCTAATCCCTGGACCTCTCCAGGCGTGCACTCTGACTAAGATTTCGAGGCCAATCCAGCCGTGGCGACGAGGGCCTCCCAGGAGAAAACGACGGAAGGCATATTGGTACCCGTTCCTCCTCTGACCCGCGCCTCCCCGAAGCACTCCCGCCACGGCGACATGCTCCAGAGCGGTGCACCCACTGGCCCTCGGGGACCGGCCGGCCGACCGCGGCGTCAGGGCCAGCAGGCGTACCTAGAGGCCTCCTAGATGGGGTAGGAGTAGATGGGGTCGGAGGATCGCGCCGCACACCGATACATCGGCGATGCATCGGCGATGCATCGTCGACGTCGGCGATGCATCGGCAACGTCGACGTGAAGCAAATCGGCCTGCACACCGAGCAGCCTCGGTGATGCATCGGCGATGCGGCGCGATCCTCCGATCCCCCTGGGCCCCTCTGCTGCTCGGCTCCCATCTAGGAGGTCTAGAGCACCACGGAGGACCAGCGCCCGTCGACCCGGGCGCCCACGCGCTCGCCGACGTAGGGCAGGTTGCGGAGCAGCAGGCCAGCGCACAGCATGCCCAGCAGCGGCGGCAGCCCGGCCGCGCCGGTCAGCTGCCCAGCCGCCACCTCGTGGGGGCGCCAGGAGGTGGTCCCACGGGCGACGGGCAGACTCAAGTCCAGATGTGCTCTCGCTGCGAGAAAGCCACGACGGGAGGGCTTGGGCAACGTTCGGTATCCAGCGGCCCTCGCCCGGCCCCAGGGACCGTCGAAGGACGGGTGCTGAGTTCAGACCCCTGAGATGATTTCTGCATCACGTCGACCCCCAGGAGTCTGGACCCATCCCCCGGGACCGGTTCTTCATCCGGAGTTGATCTTTTGTCGGCTCCGCGGCCTGGCAAGGGCCCCAAAAGGCCGAAAACAGCGAAAAACCTCGCGTCGTGATTTGTTCATGACTCCGAGGGGGGTCTGGAAGGACAGGGTCGAACCTATCCCTAAGACTAACAGGCCAAAAGTCGACGACAATCTCAGGGATGCGCCCTCAGAAACGGCGGGAATCCCTAAGATCGGCATCGAGATGAGGCGATGCCGATCATAGGGATAGGGATATGTTCCAGGCTGGTGATGGGAGGGCAGGGTCAGGACATCCAGGGGGGCCCGTAGTGAGATACTCAAGCGTCGGACGTCTGAGTCCGGACGGAGGAGAGGCGACGACACCACCACCAGGGGGGGGGGGCACCTGCAGCGATGGGGGTCCGATGTGCCTCCCCGGCCTCGAGCGAGAGAGCAGCAGGACCGCACCGTCTGTCGGTGGCCACATGTGACCCCCCCAGGATCTCGAAGGGGGGGGGCTCGTTTCGCTCGGGGGTTCCCGAGCGGAGGGAACCCTCACCCCCCCTGAGAAATCGTGGGGGGTGCAGGGTTCACATGTGGCCGCTGAATCTGAAGGGGCCCAGGGACACACAAACAAATACACACAAATACCAGCGTTCCCCACATGTTCCCAAATCCTCTGGAGTTTCGTCTCCCCCCACTTCCCATATTTTCCCATGTTTTCCTGGGGATCGACGATTCATTGTGCCTGTGTGTTCCTTCCCCTCCTGAGAACCTCGCGCTGGTGCTGTCGCCGCCCCTCCCTGCTCCGATATCCACACCGCCGTGCACCGGCGGCCTGCACGACGGGGCGCGACCCCACGGGGTGCGCGCGCCCGTGGGCGCGCTGCCCGCGGCATCCGTGGGGCCGCGGCCGAGGGAGTCCAGACCGCGAGGCCCTGTATATGGATGCGCCTTCCTCCTCCTCCTCCTCCTCCTCCTCCTCCTCCTCCTCCTCCTCCTCCTTTTCATTCCGATCACCGGGACCCTTGTCGCGCCAGTTTTGCGCAGCCCGGCGGGCCCCCTGGGCCTTGCGAGCGGCGCCCGTGCGGCAAGACGGAGCCAGGACCGGGCCAAAATAGAACCGGGACAGAGCGGGATCTGTGGGACCGGGCAGTTTTGGAAAGCTCTGAAGGCGTCCTGAACGCTCTGGAACGATTTATCCTGGTCCTGGGCCCGCCCGATCAAGGCCTCCCTGGCTTCAGGAACTGGGGGGGCCGCCTCGGGCTGGACCCTTGGCATCCCCCGGCCACCGCCAGCACGAAGACGGTGAGCAGCGCGAACAGCGGGCCACCCGGAGCACCATCGCTCGGCGGCGCGCAAAACAGGGGGCGGGCGCGGGTTGGTGGGCGCCCTCTGGGGAGACACCCCCGCATCTCGGGAGCCGCCCTCCCGAAGCCGCCTCCTCTCGGGAGGCCCTCCGAGCAGGAGGGCGCGATCCCTTTTGGGCAACCTTCCCTCGTGAGACCCTTGTGCCTTCCAAGGGGGCCAGTCTCCCCGCTCGCCCTGCCGCTTTCCGCTCACCCGCCCGCGCCTGCCTTGCCGTGGCGTCGGAGTCGCCACGGAAGGGTTGTCAACCGGCCCTCTGATCGTGCGCGGTTGAAAGGGATTCCTCTTCCAACCCCCCTTGCTCCTTTCGGGGAGGGGTTATCGCTGTTCCCAAACACCCCTTCCCACACTCAATTGGTGACAAACCATGGGCGCTGCCGCCCCCCCACCATCCCTTAAAAAAAACCGGGCAAAGTGCACTTTGCGTCAAAATTTGGATCATGCGCGGACGCCCCGCGATCACATTGCATTGATTGTGTGGCAGGCCGCGATCACCTTGCATCGATTGGGACTACATTATGCGCGTGCGCGCCGCGACTACTTTGAAATAGTTTTTGGCGGGGAAGGCGGGGCGGGTGGCATGTTGTCTGCTATGTGCAGTGCCCCCCGACCATCCTTGGCAGATCAAAACGAGCAAAATGCACACTGCACCAAATCAGGATTACGTGCGGGCGCCCCGCGATCACTTTGCAGTGGTTCAGGACCGGGACGGCGGGCGGGCCGGCAAATTGCCTGCTGTACGCAGGCCCACAGTCGTTGTCAAAAGCACGTGCCAAATCATTGCACGTGTACGCACACAGTAGACAATACTGGCAAACCCGCCGCCACAGCGCACTGGTTTTTGACAGGGACGGCGAGAGGGTGGCCTGTGGCACCTGGCGCGCGTGGCGCACCTGGCATGAGCGGCGCACCTCGCGAACATCGTGCACGTGGCTGAAGTCTGCATTGAGACCCGAGGGTTGTCGATGACGGCCCCTGCCTATGATGAAACCCGGGCGATACTTAAGCGCTCCCGCTGGAAACTTGATCCGTGTTCCCTATTGATACACACCCCCTCGCAAGCGAAAACCAGCCAACCAGGAACCATGATCACCCCCCGGCACCATCCATCAACAAAAACAATACAAAACGCACTTTATCGGGAGAATGCGCGGCCAACCCGATACGCCCCCCCCTACCATCCCTGCCAAATAACTCCGACGGTAGGGCCCCTCATGATAATATAGTTAGATTGTAAGTCGTTCGGTCCTCTTCGCCCTGACCGAACACCCCCTCTCGTTTTCTGTTGCGCCTCCTCCCCATCCTCATATTCCGTGTTATCCTCGTCCTCCGCCTCCCCCTCCTGATCGCCCTCGTTGTTAGATATTCCCTGTTCTTTTTCGTATTGTTCGTCCACCTCCTCCTCCACCACTCCTCTTCTTCTTCTTATTATTCTTCTTCTTCTTATTATTATTATTATTATTCTTCTTCTTCTTCTTCTTCTGATTCTGCTTCTTCTTCTTCTTCTGCTTCTGTTTCTTCTTCTTCTTCGTCTTCTTCTTATTCTTCTTCTTCTTCTTATTCTTATTATTCTTCTTATTCGTCGTCTTCTTCTTCTTCTTATTCTTATTCTTATTATTCTTCTTCTTATTCTTCTTCTTATTCTTCTTCTTCTTCGTCTTCTTCTTCTTCTTCTTATTCTTCTTCTTCTTCTTCTTCTTCTTCTTATTCGTCTTCTTATTCTTCTTCTTCGTTTTCTTCTTCGTCTTCTTCTTCTTCTTATTCTTCTGTTTCTTCTTCTTCTTCTTCTTCCTCTTCCTCTTCCTCTTCCTCTTCCTCCTCCTCCTCCTCCTCCTCCTCCTCCTCCTCCTCCTCCTCCTCCTTCTCCTCCTTCCCTTCCCTCATCTCCATCCCGCCTGCTTTCCTCATGCATCGTTCCTTCCCCCTGGCAGGGGGGGCGCGTGCCGATTTTCCTCGGCGCCCTCGCCGCAAAGTCCGGCAGTGGCGCGCTCTCCGATGGCAAAACCGCGAAGTCGTCGGGGCAGCGGCCGTTGGGACAACCCCGCGAGCCGCTGGAGCGCGAGAGCTAGCCGTTGGGACAACCCTGCAGGCACCGAGCTAGCCGCGGCCGGTCTCAAGCAGGAGGCAGCACGAAGTTCAGCTCTGCCGCAAACTGCTGCGCCTCAGCCCTGGAGCCCACTGCTCCCTTGTCGAACTCATCGACCGCCTTGTGACTAGGGAGGGGGCCCCCGCCTGACACTTCCTTGCACTTCACTCACAGACGCGTGAGTAACGCCTCGTGATGTGCACCTGTGGGGTGGTCAAATGCTTTGCCTGATAGCGTCTGCCGATGACATGATGACCCGCTCGGATTACCAACATGGAATGCAGGCCCCAAAGGGAGGCGGCTCCCGCCTGAGACTTCCTCGCTATCCACTCACAAACGAAACCCCCGCGTGAGACGACCTCCATATTCAACCCAGAGGAGCCGAAAAGCGACGACAGATTGCAGTTTTCTGATGACCCGCTCGGATTACCGACATGAAGCGCGGACCCTATAAGGAGGCGGCTCCCGCCTGAGACTTCCTCGCAAGTCATTCAAAGACGAGGCTTCCGCCTGAGACTTCCTTCATATTCACTCCAGAGGAACCCACAAGTGAAGACTGTGACAAGTTTCCGATGACCCGCTCGGATTACCAACATGAAATGCGGGCCCCATGAGAAGGAGGCTCTCGCCTGAGACGTCCTCGCAATTCACTCACAAACGAAGTTCCCGCCTGAGACTTCTTCCATCTTCACTTCAGAGGAACTTAAACATGATGATTGTTACAAGTTTCCGATGACCCGCTCGGATTACCACAGTGAAATGCGGGCCCTTAGGGAAGGGGCTCTCGCCTGAGACTTCCCCGCAACACTCACAAACAGAGTTCCTACCTGAGACTTCCTCCATATTCAGCCCACAGGAGCCGAAAAGTGACGACAGTTCCAAGTTTTCGATGGCCCGCTCGGACTACCAACATGAAATGCGGAACCCATCAAGAAGGGGCTCTCGCCTGGATTCCCCCGCTATCCACTCACATATGAAGCTCCAACCTGAGACTTCCTCCATATTCATTACATAGGAGCCGAAAAGAAACGACAATTGCAAGTTTCCGATGACCCACTCGGATTACCAACACGAAGCGCGCACCTTATAGGGAGGGGGCTCCCGCCTGAGAATTCCCCACGATGCACTCAAAGACGAAGCTCCCGCCTGAGACTTCCTCCAGATTCACTCCACAGGAGCCGAAAAATCAAGACTGTGACAAGTTTCCGGTGACCTGCTCGGATTACCAGCATGAAATACGGGCCCCACAGGGAGGGGCTCCCGCCTGAGATTTCCTCGCAATTCACTCACAGACGAAGCTCCCGCCTGAGACCTTTTCCATGACGGAGGGGAAGAGGGAGAAAGGGGGGAAGAAGGACGAGGAAAAGGAGGAGGAAAAGGAGGAGGAGGAGGAAGAGGATGACGAGAAGGAGAGGGGGGAGGGTGGGAGGTTCCTGCGCGGAGGTTTGCAGAGAAAACAAGATACCCACTTAGGATGACGGAAAACAATACGCACTACACTTTGGGGCAAAATCTTGAGTCATGTTCGTAAGGCCCGCGGGCAAGTCGTATTGTTTTTGTCAGGGGCGGCGGAGGTGTCAGCATGTTGCATACTGCGCACAGGGCGACCATGCCTAACAAAAAAGCAATACAGAATGCCACTCGCGGGAAAATCCTGGATATTGCGCGGCCACCCCGCGATTACCGTCAAGAGGTTTTTTTGACAGGGACGGCGGGACTGGTGGAGTATAGCCTGCTGTGCGCAGGCCCACCCGACACAATGGTGGGCATTGGTCTTCGACAAGGATGGTGGAGGCCGACATATTCCCGATGTGTGCTGCCACGTGCGCAGGCGCACCTGACACACTCTACACGTGCCCCGAACGTGGCGCACCTGGCGCGGCTGGAGTATGCGGCACACCTGGCGCACGCGGAGCACGTGGCGCATCTGGCGCACCAGGTTTGCCTGGCACGCTCGGGCCCCAGGGGTGCCTGGCGCGCGTGGCGCGCCTGGCACGCGTGGTGCACCTCGCCCCAGTGTCGCGCACATGGGGCCGGTTTTGGTTCCCAGCATATGTCCATCCAAAGACGACCGCTGAACATGCTCAGGCACGGGCGTTACTGATGTATTGGGAGAGCGGGTGGGAGTGAGCTAGACGACTTGCTATCTAGGGGGTGTCTTGACCCCTCCCCCTACCCGCTCCCCTGGGCCCTGGACCTGGATGGGGGATGTCGCGACCCATTGGAGCATACCCTTTTGGGCCTCCTGGGGGGGCTACTTACGTACCCCCCTGTCTTTGATCGAACTCCTCCAATATGGCCCCAAGTTGGCCCCAACGCTCCCGAGAGTGCCCTAGAGGGCCCCACGAGATGCCCAGGATGTCCCAAGAAACCGCCCAAAGACCCCCAACAGGCCCCAAGAGGCTCCCCCGAGTCACCCAAGACGCTCCAAGAGGCCCCCAAGACCGCCAAGAGGCCTCCAAAACGCCCCAAGAGATCCGAAGAGACCCCGTGAGGCATCCAGAGCCTCTGGCCTTTCTGCTTGCCTTCCTCCTCGTCCTCCTCCTCGTCCTCGTCCTCCTCCTCCTCGTCCTCCTCCTCCTCCCTCCCTCCTCCCTCCTCCCTCCTCCCTCCTCCCTCCTCCCTCCTCCCTCCTCCCTCGTCGCTCCTCCCTCATTCCTCCTCCCCCCTCCCTCCTCACTCCTCCTTCCTTCCATCCTCCTCCGCTTGGGGAATTACGGCTTCCCTAACCTTTTGTTATACTGCATGCTCCTGCACATCCCTGATCAGGGCAATTCGCCTCGGCATCGTTTCCGAATGGGCTGGTGGGGTTACGCGAAGCGTCTAGAATTATCGATCTGGCCGGCGCAGGGTGGGGGCAAATGCCACCAGCCCACCTCCCACTCCCAGCGAACGTCGGCATGACGCCTTGTAGCGCTACCGTAGCCCAAGCTAACTAACCCCTCTGCGCGCCGCCAGCTCGTCGCCGACGACGAGGTACAACGCACAGCAGGCCAGCGCAAGCGCCAGCAGCCGGCGCCCAGCGAGCTCCAGCCGAGGCCGTGAGATCAGCTCAGAGTGCTCCGCCATCGACCTAGGGGTGGGGGCAAGGCAGAAGGAGGACGGCGGCGGAGGCGACGACTGACGACAATGGCAAAGGCGACGACGGCGGCGGCAACGACGACGACGACGGACGGCGACGAAGACGACGATGCGGCGGCGACGGCGAAAAAGGAAAACGAACGACTGAGGCCGACGGACGAGGACGACGACCAAACGATGGACTTGATAGTATGACGATGCTGGTGGCGGCGGCAGCGGCAACGACCAGGCCAATCCTCGCGCCCTCATGAGCTATCAGACCGAGTGTCGCGATCGGCCCGTCGTCGAGCCTCGTCTTACGCTCCTCCTCCTCCTCCTCCTCTTCCTCCTCCTCTTCCTCCTCCTCCTCTTCCTCCTCCTGCTCCTCCTCCTCCTCCTTTTCCTCCTCCTCCTCCTCCTCCTCCTCATCCTCCTCCTCCTCCTCCCTCCCCCTCTTCCCCCTACTCCCCCTCCTCCTCCTCCACCTGATCCTCCTCCTCCTCCTCCTCATCCTCCTCCTCCTCGTCCTCCTCCTCCCCCTCACCGTCCGTCCGTTCATCTGCCTTCTCCCCATCATCATCCCTATTCTTCTCTAGAAATGCTGGGGTGAGTTTAGTCAAGCCTGTTCCTCCTCCTCCTCCTCCTCCTCATTCTACCCGTCCTTCGCACCGCCAGCAGCATCAGCAGCAGCATCATCATCAGCAGCATCATCATCATCAGCAGCATCGTCATCAGCAGCAGCATTAGCATCATCAACATCCTCAGCATCATCACCATCTGCATCATCACCATCACCATCACCATCAGCATCATCATCATCACCATCAGCATCAGCATCATCATCATCACCATCATCATCATCATCATCATCATCAGCATCATCATCATCATCATCATCATCATCAGCTTCATCATCAGCAGCAGTATCATCATCTTCAGCCACACCATGTTCATCATCAGCATCGCCAACATCATCAGCATCAACACCATCAGCAGCCGCATCATCATCATCATCAGAAGCATCCTCAGAATCAACATCCTCACCATCGTCATCATCATCAGCACCATCATCATCATAATCAGCACCAGCATCATCGCCAACATCATCACCAGCATCATCAGCAACATCATCACCAGCATCCGCAGCACCAACACCAACATCAACATCATCACCATCAGCATCATCATCAGCAGCAGCATCAGCATCATCAACCACATCAGCATCAACGGCATCTTCATAAGCATCATCATCCTAATCATCATCCGCATCACAATGAGAAACATCATCATCATCATGATCATCATCATCATCATCGTCATGATCAGTATCACCATCACCATTATCATCGTCGTCGTCATCATCATCATTATCGACATCATCAGCATCGTCATCATCATCATCAGTATCAAATGCCATCGTCATCATCATCAACAGCATCATCTTCATGATCACCATCAATAATCATCATTATCAGCACAATCATCATCATCTCTTCATCCTCATCAGCATCATCATTATCATCATCAGCAGCATCGTCAGCATCGTCAGCATCATCATCAGCATCATCACCTTCGTCACCACCATCATCAACATCATCATCATCAACAACATCAACATCGTCATCATCCCCACCTCCACCACCATCATCATTATCACCATCACCCAATCACCACGACCACTTAGGTGTACAAAGTCAGAGCCATAATGAAGTCACTTTTGTGTGCGTCTGTATGGTTGTTGTGTTTTTTGTGTGTGTGTGTGTGTTTATGTTCCGTCCAGTGTTTTTTGTATGTTTTTGTATGTTTTGCGTGTGCTGGTTTGTGTTGTTTTGTGTTTTGTTGTGATTTTTGGGAGGGGAGGAATCTACCGCGGTCGATCGCCCAGGAGGGTTCGACTGCCGCCCCGGCGCGGATCGCCCCCGCCAAGGTTCTCTTAAAAGGGGGAGCTTCGGCGTGGGCTTTTCCCGTAGGCGCCCCCGCTCGCCTGGGAGGGCGCGGGGGGTCCTGGATCGCCTGGGGGGGGTTCCAGGACGGGCCGACTCGCCCTGGGGGGGGTCGGTCCGAGCGGTGGAATCGCCCGGGGGGGTCTCCGCCACTCAGTTCCTGCACGAGTCGCCCGGGGTGGTCTCGCGCGGGAAAAGCCCTCGCGAATCGCCCAAAGGGGGTTCCACGGGGGCGAGGTAGCCCGGGGGGGCGCCTCAGAACAGTGCACGGCGCGAAGGATTCCCGCGAATCTTTCGCGGGACTTTCGCGAATTCGTCGCAAGGGGCCCGGACTCTCGCGAATTTTTAGCGAGAGGCGTAGCGGTCTGGACAGTCGCGCAGGGGGGGGGGGCGAAGAAGAGAGGAGGGGAGGTCCGATGCCAAAGCCTCGAGGGCAACCTCCGGAGCCAAGCGAATGACGGACAATTGGAGCAGGGAGCGGCTAAGGATAGAGAAGGGGGGCGAAGGATAAGAGCTGGAGGGGAGCGCGAGCGGCGCACCGAGGAGCAGAGGCGGAGAGAAGGGTAGTTCTCCGGTTGATCACGCCGAGAAAAGGGCGAGGTTGATGACTAAATTAAGGCTCTGACTTTGCACACGCAAGACCACCATCATCACACATGCTCCCTCACCCGTTCTCCTCCCTTTGTGGCCAAGTAGTCCGAGGGCAGTGCTCGAACCTTGAGAGATCGTCGCGTAGACAGAGCGAGAGCGCTCCGGAACGCTCTGAGAAGACCCACTGGATCTCTGAGATGCCGATCTGATGGGACTGTTTTCCACCACCACCACCACCATGAGTTGGAGGGGGGAAGGAGCCGGAGGAGGAGGAGGAGGAGGAGAAGGAGGAGGAGGAGGAGGAGGAGAACCCCCTCTCCCTCCAAGCTATGGTGGTGGTGGAAAACAGGCCCATCACGATCTTTACCCGATGTTACCCTCGTCCGGGCTTCGCCCTACGCACGGCGCGGCGCCGAGCCCTGGCACGGCCGGCCCGCTCCCCAAGGCGCCCCGGGCTTTGCCAGGCGCCAGGGGCTGGCAGAGCCCCTGGCGCCAGGCAGAGCCCGGGGCTCTGTCAGGCTCTGTCACGGCAGGCGGGGCCGTCGGCGAGGGAGGCAGGACGGGAGTGGTGTCACGGCACATCTGGCGCAGGATGCGTCCAGTGGGAAACCCATCGAAACCCAGGGCACCCTGGTCCAGCGTGCCCCGGGTCAGCATGAAGCAGACGGGTCCTGAGAGACATGGAAGAGGATGCAACAGCGCGGAAAGCAGGATGCAACAGCGCGAGACCCAAGAAACCCAGGGCGACCTGGAGGCAAGCAGGGTGTCTCTTGGGATGGGTTTCCACTGTCTGTTGACGCCCTGCTCCGAAGGGCCCGGCCCGCGGGCGGCGCTGGGCGCCCCGGCGCCTGGCGCCCCCGCGCGCGCGCATGCCGGCAGAGGCCAGATATTTCACGCTTCCCGGCGTTGGTCGCCTTCCAGCAAGGCTCGTTCCCCAAACATGATCGCGTCGTAAAAAAAAATCATGACGGGAGGTTCGTGGCGATGTTCACCCTCGGGGGGCCCTCGCCGGGCCTCGGGACCGTCAAAAAAAACGACGCGGGAGGAGGGCGCGCCGCTGGATGACCCCAAAAGGGGGGGGGACCCCCCCCCTTTCCCCGATCCGTCGTCGGGGACCCCCACCCCCTCCCCCTCCCTTTCCCGATCCGTCGTCGAGGATCCGTCGTCGAGGAAAACCCCTCCCCCTCCCCCCCCTTTCCCGGTCCGTCGTCGGGGACCCCCCCCCCTCCCCTCCCCTCCTTTCAAAAGGGGGGGGGTCCGGTCCGACCCCCCCTCCCCCCCTTTGGCCGCCAAGTTCGAACCTCCCCCCCTCCTCCCCTTTCTCCACGGCGCCCCTGGTCTCCGGAACCCGACCCCTACTACCCCTAACACTAATCGTCACCCTTGCCCTAACCCCTAACCCCTAACCCCTAAACCCTCACCCCAAACCCAGACCCTAGCCCAAAACAGTGCTCACTACTCATTACGCACTACGTATTACCGACAATTCACTACTCGCTACTCACTAGTCACTTCCCACTACTCACTACTCACGACTCACTATTCACTACCCACGACCCACTACCCACGACGCACTACTCACTACTACCATCCTACCCACGCCTCACTACAAGCTACTCACTATTCAGCATTCACTATTCAATACTCACTACTCACTAAACACAACTATCTCAATACCCACTACTCGCTAATCACACATCACCACTCACTACCACTAACCACTATCCACTACTCACTACTTCTACTTCACTACCCACTAATCACTGCCCACAACTCAATACTCACTATCCACTACTCGCTATTCGCTACTCCCTACACAGTCCTCACTGCTCACTACTCACTACTCGCTACTCCCTACGCCCTACTCGCTACCCGATACGCACTATTCACTACCACCTACTCACGACTCACTACGCTCCCACCACTCACTACTCACTACTTCCTACTACCTCCTCACTACTCCCAACAACTCACCACTCACTACTCACTACCCAGTACTCAATACTCACTACTCACTAGCCACTACTCACTGCCCACTACTCACTACTCACTGAGCACTACTCACTACCCACTAACCACTATGCACTACTTACTACTGAGAAGTCACAAATCACTACTCACTACGCACTGCCCAGAATTCACTACTCACTATCCGCGACTCGCTACCCAATGACACATGTCCACTACCCACTAAGAAATTCTCGCTTCTCACTACCCACTACTCCGTACTCCCTACTCACTAGTCATTAGTCGCAAGTCGCTACTCACTACTCACTACTCACGACTCACTACTCACGAACTGTTATTCGCTATTGCCTGCTCACTACCGACTACTCAATACCTACTTCTCGCTTATCACTACCCACTACCCACTACTCCCTACTCACTACATCAGAGAAACTATGGATTCAGTTTGTGTCGGGGTTTCGGTTTTCTGCTATGCCTGGCGGCCCATAGGGGCCAGACGGATCGCGAGGAGGC